TACAATAATTATTTTAAAATAGTTTTAATAATTTTAAATGTTTTAATATTGAATTTTGTTAAATTTATTCTTAATGCAAGAAAAAACTATTTGCAAACAAGATGAGAAAAAATTATATACAGTAATAGTTTCAAATATAATTGTTTAGAAATATAAACTAAATATTAGTAGAACTAGCCTTAATATCTAAATAAATTAATCTTGTTTAAAAGAAGGGCAAACAACCCAAAAATTCTAATTAAATAGTATATTAATAAACTAACAGACAAGGGGTGAGAGACATGCAGAACTTTGTTAATGATGGGGTTCAAATTCTGCAGAAATCTGGAGAATCTGCTCAAGGAGCATAACACAAACAGTAGCTCTGACCTGCACTCCAAATGTTCCCAGAACAATGCTGCAGAAGATAGGGTTCCCAAAGATGCCATCGAACACGTTCCTTTCGCCGTGAATTTTGCGAGCGTTGATCTCGTTGAAGAGCTGCATCAGGACAAAGGTGTTGAAGATGATGGTGTAGTGTTCAGATGGGGGGGAGTGTAAGGGGGCGTTACGGCCGCTGTCGATGTTGAAGATTTTCTCTCCTTGTTAGGATGAAAGAGATGAAGGCATACAAAATTAAGCCGTTCTTAAAACCTTTAAAGGTGCACTCAGTAGACACTCATTGTTTCACCTTTAGACCAGTCACTTATGCTAGCATTGCTCTCATTCTCACAGCTTCTGCTAAATGAATATGTAAATATATGTAACATATCTGAGACTATAATGTTATAATTGAACTGTAAGCTGCTACACTTTCAGTTAAGACTTTCCTCCAAATTATTACTGTATTATTCATCATTTAATAAATAATGCAAAACAACATTGATTCTTGAACTCTCTGTCCCACCAACAAACAGCAGGGTGAAGATGATGATGAGCTGATAGACTCCGTGACCTAGGATGTTCTTCATCATTGTGAGCGAGATGAGAGGGTTGTTGCGGCCGTAGGGTTTCCTAAGCAGCAGAGCTTCGGTGGGTGGCTCAGTGGCAAGAGCCAAAGAGGCAAATGTGTCCATGATCAGATTAACCCACAACATCTGTACTGCTTTTAGTGGAGAGTCCTACACACAAAAACACAGAGATGAATGAATGATGAACTGATGAAAGTAGTGAACTTAACTCTTAGCCAGTGAAGTGTGTGCAGTACCACCGGTCTCCAGCAGGGGGGAGTTTAGTGGCTGTTTTAATTACAACTTCCTTTTGCTATGAGCTTGAGAGGTACAATGTAGTCAGTTCTCCTAATCCACATGACAGAGCTATCAGCGCTCTAGAGTGGCTGTCTCACACTTACTGCAACTCTACATGCTAAAACAAACAACACTGATCTGAGGAGAAGATTTGGGGGGACGCAATGTTCAACTTGTCCCCCCCTTTACTTTATTAAAAAAAAAAAGGAAATATCTTTTACATTGAGGCACTTCCAATGGAAGTGAATGAGTCAGTGTTAAAATACTCCGTTTGAACTGTATAGCCACAAAACGTAAACAATGTAACATGAATTTAGTGTGAAAAATACTTGCTAACATTCTCTGGGTAAAGTTATTTCCAATTTTACAACTTCATTGCCATGACAATCTGACAGCTAAAACGATTAAAATAAAGAGCACCTAAAATTACACATTTAAACAGAAAAATGACTGCTAGTGCTTTTTTAAAAGTATAAGTTTCACATTTCTGCTTTTAAATCCTCAAAAAAAATTGGCCCAGTTGTAAGTGCATCACCACAACCCAGAATTTTGAGGGACAATTAAAAATAATTTTTCGAGGTAATCCTGTCGATTGTGCTTAACTTGTGTGTGAGTCAGTGTTGTTATCGTTAACTAAAACAAAAAATATTACAATATTTTCGGTTATTGAAATAAAGATGAAATAAAATTAATTGCAAATATTACATAAAAACTTGAACTTAAAAAAACTAATAAATAAATAAGTTGAAGCAATAAATTACTAAAACTAAAATTAAAATGAAAACTCAAAATATTAATGAATACTATAATAGCATATTAATAATACTAAAATTACAGTGGTTTGAGTGTGTGTTCTACCTGTGTAATGCAGGCCCCGGTGAAAGCTACCGTGACGGCCACTACATTGACAGTAAGCTGAAACTGCAGGAACTTTGAGATGCTGTCATACACATTTCTCCCCCACATGACAGCCTTCACAATGCTGGAGAAGTTATCATCGGTCAGGATGATGTCCGAGGCTTCTTTAGCTACATCAGTGCCTGCTATACCCTGGAGACGGCAAGAGAGAAAGACCAAGAGATTTAGGTAATACATACAGGTGCATCTCAATAAATTAGAATGTCGTGGAAAAGTTCATTTATTTCAGTAATTCAACTCAAATTGTGAAACTCGTGTATTAAATAAATTCAATGCACACAGACTGAAGTAGTTTAAGTCTTTGGTTCTTTTAATTGTGATGATTTTGGCTCACATTTAACAAAAACCCACCAATTCACTATCTCAACAAATTAGAATACTTCATAAGACCAATAAAAAA